GGCCCGTGCAGGTGCCTTTAGTTACTGTATTTGTTTAATGAAACGCGTGAACTCCGATGACTGAATGCTCTGCTGAGAGTAAGATCTCAGAGAGCCGAAAGGCTTGGTTTGCGTGTTCAGCTCCCGTTCTAGGCACGGCAATTTCTCTGCCTTTCTATGTGTTACCATGTGATGGTAGACGCCTTTCAATGACTTGATCTTCCATGTAAATGGTCCCACACTTCTGTGGACAAGACATTGCTTCTACTCTCAGACGAAACAGACGGATATAGAGAGGATCTTCGAAAAGTTGGTAAGTAGCTAGATATTGACGCTGCTAACCGACTGATACGGTTTCAATACATTGGAATTTAAGTAAATCTACTAGAAATCTGTAGACAACATGGATGTATCAAGTTCAGTTTCAGTTATGTAAATAGTGTGTCTTGGTAGTTTTGTTCAGAGAGAGAGGACCGAGTAGGCTGATGGAACGGTGTCTCTCTGAACATCTGAACATGTTACCCAACTGTAGTCTGAGTGAGGTTAACAGCTGTTTCCCCCCCCCGTTTCCTTTCATTATACAGGCCAAAGCCCATTGAATTCCTTGGAACAGATCACGATCATTTCCTTAAAACTTTTCATAATTATCATTCATGATCATTTTCCAACCCTTTTCGGTGGTATATAACCGATGCAGTAGAAAGAGCGTTATTAAAAAATACAGGAGAGAATCGTTATAATTCAATGGGGGCAGTTCAAGAGAGAGTTCAGTCATTAATTGGTCTGCTCTGCTGATATGAAAGTTCTATTTTGTGGACGGACCTGCATTATTTCTTCATAATTTCTTCCACAGTTAGGTTCCGCACTATTCTTATATCATATTGCAATGCAGCTCCATTTGAGACGGCAGTTCAGCCATCTCTCCTGTTCAGTACATGTTGCATATTTCTTGTTCGCTTTTACCGACTGGCCTACGAATATCTTCATATATTTCAGAATGACAGTCATATACATTCTCCTACGCTTAGTTTCCTTGAACTAAAACGTGTGAACGTCCATGTGTGAGAAATGGTAGTGACACTGAATCGTGTTTCCAGTAGTAACTTAATTGATGGAAGGAAAATGAGCTAAGTACATAATTAACTTTATAGTATAGCCTTCCGACAGCCTCTGTGGTGTAGTGGTCAGAGTTCCTTGCTACAGATTCAGAGGTCCGGGTTCGATTCCCCGCGTTACCAGATTTTCTGAGAAGTAGTGGGTCCGAACCTGGGTCCACTCAGCCTCGTGAGTATAATTGAGGAGCTACTTGAATGGAAAAATAGCGGCTCCGGTCTAGAAAACCGAAATTAATATCCGTGGAGATTCGTTGCGCTGACCACGCAACACTTTCTATCCGCTAAAGTTGGCATTAACTTCGCCTACAAGCGGCGGTCGCTCGGTCGGTATAGTTCGCTTGCGGACTAAAACCACGTACTATAACCTTCCTTCAGCAAATAATTATCACTCTGCTGAAAGGAATTCAATTCAGTGGTGCCTGAAATTGCTTCAGTCGTTCGCAGAAGACTGCCATCTGGCCGTACTAGGCCATTTCAGTAGAGTTCCTACATTTCCCTAACTATTCCTCTGATATCTCCCGACTCACTCGTAAGCCTTCCATGTGGTCCTTTCTCGAGGATATTTTCAAAAATATTCCAACATCATTGGGTGAAATATAAACATTTTGAGCACGCCTATTTTGTAACTTCTCCGTTCTCCTGTTGTTTCATCCCTTGTAGTTTCAAATGTTCTCCTCAAGGCTTTTGTGTTCGCAAATTCTCAAAAGACGCCGTTCCCTCAGAGTGGAAGGCCATTTGCATAATGTTCACACGTTTATAAATAAGATGGATGGAGGAAGTCTGAGTGCAGTGGCAACTACTGTTCCTCGCATTTAGATGTTTATTCCGTTACGAGTGTCGCTGCAATTTGTTACTTCTCGTTGCAAATGCCTGAAAGTTGCCAACTTTTCGAAGCACTTTTAAGAATTCTGACTTTAAAATTCTTTTCATTTTTGCCATATAGGAATTATTAACATATACAATGTAGCAGTAAAGTTCTAGACTTCGGCCGCGCCATCCCTCAAGCGGTTAGTCGCTGGCTTCCCACCTCGGCGGCACGGTTTCGATCCCGGGTCTGGTCAAGTGGGATTTATGGTGGACAGAGTGGCGTTGGGGCAGGTTTTCTCCGAGTACTTCGGTTTCCCCTGCCAATCTTCATTCCACCAATTGCTGCACAGTCACCCTCACCTATAATCTGGGGCTGGTACAATAGGCCAGAAGTGGCTGCAGTACAAGGGACTTAGTTCCACCCCACTAGCAATAAAAAAGTTCTAGACTTGCATTACTGGTGTGCTTGGCTCGAAACTAGAATGGGGAACAGGATGTTCTGACTTGGGTTTCATAGATTTCCTCGGCCCCTCCAGGAAAATGCCAAGATATTACCTCAAACTCATTAATCACCGTATCATTCGACTCTTTCTAGTCTAGATATCAACACGACCATGAGCAAATAACAAAACATTAAAGCATTGTTGCTTTTCCTGTAGACTGACATTCTCACAAGTTTCCAAAATGACATTTCTGTTTATTTATACAACTTGTGCTCCCATTGAAGTCTCCGTATTTACATTATGTACAGAATGCACGTCAGGTATTTCTACAAAAGTAAAGGAGGAAATCCTCTTGTGGAGGTCGTGTCTGTCAGTGACTGAATATCAGCGCCTGTGCTCTCTGTTACCGGATAATTTCACTAAAAGCAGTCGAGCAATTCCAATTTTCAGCTCTGTTCATCCGTAATAAACCCCAGTTTATGTAAGGCCACAAATGGACTTTTCCGTTTATCCCATAAATCATTAAGCAGGCATTATTGTGTTTCGACATGAGATAATTCTGCCAAAGATTTCTTTTGAGAGGAGGGGGAAATAGTATTGATCAATAATAAACCACAGTTTATGCAAAACCATGAATGGACTTTTCCATGTAGCATCACATAACACAGATTGTGGTGAAATTCGATATGTAGTGCGGTTCTAGTTTTCGGTCACGTTTAACCACAATAAAGTCGAGTTTACACAAATACATATATCGACATTTCCACCTATCCCATTAACCTTTCACATGTTTTACTAAAATTCGGCACAGAGCACTTCCACCGAACATTGTCGGGTAATTCCGGATTTCGGCCATGTTTATCCATAATATGTAAGATTTGAGGTCTCCACGGCGGTGGCTATGAAGGTTGCCGTCTTCTGGGATCTGGCGCCGTGTAGATATTGTGTTAACCGATGTTTCGGAGGAAAGTATCGCCTCCAACTTCAGGGTATAAGAAATTCGCGAGAGATGAACCAGCACGAGCAGACTCAGTCTGCAGCCACCCGCTTATGCTGGTTCATCGCTCGCGAATTTCTTATACCCTGAAGTTGGAGGCGATACTTTCTTCCGAAACGTCGGTTAACACAATATCTACACGGCGCCACATCCCAGAAGACGGCATTCTTATCCATAATAAATCCTAGTTTGCATGAAGCCACGAATGGGACTATTTCATAGCCCCTACCACAGTCTTTGTTGAAATTCAGTTAGAGAGAACCTCGCTTATTCCCACTTCATTATTCCCAGTTTCAAGTATTCCTACCGTTGGTAGTTTTGTATACTACATTATGGAATAGATTTTCCAGTCTTCTTATTGCTGCTAAGCTACAAATTAACTCTTAAAAACAGGAAATGCATTTCATACTGAAATCATCCTACAGTTCTCTTCTTGGATCTATAAATAATATGCAGCAAAACCTCGTACAGTCCGGGTAATCGGTTCCGCCAATATCCCGGACTGTTTGAAACCGGACTAATCGAGGAACTAAATACATACAAAAAATGATAA